TTGATCCATATATCATGCATCCTTCCCTCCACTGGTGTTGTTTAGTTTAGTTCCTCAGCTTACTTGCCAACCCTGTAAATCTGCCATTGTTAGGCTCAGTGTTAACTTCCATCTTTATCTGAAATCCCATCGTATTATGTTCTCAGCTGTCAACTTGTTTCATGACTCTGACCTACTCTACAACCTTCAGTGTTTTACTTATTATCAAATACAATAGCATCCTTGCTTAATTTCTTGGGTACTTGTTTCATATAGAAGTCAAATGTTGAATCCAGTTTTGCTGTGCTATATTCTCAGTGCTTGATCTTTCCCTGGTAAATTAAAATCACCCATAGCTAGTACATCTGCTCCTACACAAACTTTCTTTATTTGACGGCAGAGTTCATGACCCATTCTTCTGATTAGTGGTCTCTAGCAGATGCATTAACGTCTTTGTGTTCACACATACCTCTCATCCTTTTCTGCCTTAACTAACTTAGAACAAAGAAAAATATAGCACAGGAACAGGCCCTTCGTCTCTCCAAGCCTGTGCCAACACATTTTGCCCTTCCATACTAAAACTGTCTTCGCTTACAGGATCCGTATCTCTCTGTTCCCTTCTTATTCATGTATTTGTCTGGTGTTTCTGAATGCTGCTATTGTGTCTGCTTCCACCACCTCCTCTGGCAATGCTTTGCAGGCACTCACCACCCTTTGTGTGAAAAACCTGCCTCGCACATCTCTTTTAGACTTACCTCCCTCACACCTTTAACCTGTGTCCCCTAGTAATTGAATCAGAGATAGTAGGAACTGCAGATGCTGGAGAATCCAAGACAACAAGGTGCAGGGCTGGATGAACACAGCAGGCCAAGCAGCATCATAGGAGCAGAGAGGCTGACGTTTCGGGCCTAGACCCTTCATCAGAAAAGGGGGAGGGGAAGGGGGTTCTGAAATAAATAGGGAGAGAGTGGGAGGCGGATAGAGGAGAGGAAACAAACAGGTCGAAGAGGCGGGGATGGGGCCAGTAAAGGTGTGTGTAGGTAGGGAGTTAGGAAGGGGATAGGTCAGTCCAGGGAGCGGGATGAGGTTGGTCGGTAGGAGATGGAGGTGCGGCTTGAGGTGGGAGGAGGGGATAGAGATTAAATTTAATATTTTTGATCTTTTGTGAAGTACAAGACACACGTTCCCTTTTTAATAAACACTCGTGCGGAATGGGTGATTGTGGAATATCTACTAAATAATGCAGCCAAAGTAAGAAATTGCAAGGCGGTTTCAATTGATTATATGTCGTGCAGTTTGTCCAACAACCCGTTCTGTTACAGATAGTGGATGGAGCTGTCAAGTGCGCGTGTTTCCGGCGGACAATAACAACTGCTGCACCGAGAGTGTGGTGAGCTGCAGCAGCGGCAGTGATGGCCATGTGGAGAAAGTTGCTGTGTACTTCGGGGGGCAGTTCGCAGACCGGGCGCGTGTTCGGAGTTCTAGAACGCGCTGTCCGGGCTGCGTTCTGTGATTGGAACGCGGTGTTGGCACGGCCCGGATTCGCGAGTCTGCAGCCGCGTGCAGACGGCACGGGCCCCGGAAAGGGCGGGGGTGGCACTCACAGTAGCTGGTAAGAAATGGCAACGTCAGTTATCGTGATTTAATTTCACACTGAAAGACCTTGGTAACCATCGAGAGTAAATTTCAGTGGGATAGTTTATCCATGGTCTCCCGCATGAAAGAATTCAACAACCACTTGCATATTTGTATTGTGTATTTAAGACCATTTTAAAAAAAAAATCATTAACTGGTCGTGGGCTTCGCCGGTTGGGTCAGCATTTACTGCCCGGGCCAGCACTTGGCGAGAATGGCAGTCTTGAACCTTCGGTCCTAGGGATACAGGGACACCCACAATGCTGTTGGGGGAGGGATTTCCAGCATTTTGATCGGGCAACATTGAAGGAGGTTGCGTTTTTAAAAATCAGAATGATCACTGGCTTGGAGGGGAACTTGCAGGTGGTGTATCTGTTATCCTTGTTCTTATAGATGGAGATGGCTGTGGGTTTGGAATGTACTGTTTAACAAGCTTCCGTTGTATTTTTGCAAGGCATGTTGGAGATGGCATGTGCTGTTGCTACTGTGTGTTGGTGGTAAAGAAAGCGAGCATTGAAGCTGTTGGATAGTGCCTTGATCAAATAGGCTGGATCATTTCAAACCTCTTGAGTGTTGCTAGAGCTACCTACATCAAGCAAACAGATAATATTTCTATCATTCCCCTGACCTGTGTCCAAGGTAGACAAACAGGAAGCTGGATGAACACAGCAAGCCAGGCAGCATCTGGAGGAAAGGAGCAGTCAATGTTTCAGGTATAACCTTTCTTCAGGACTGGTTGTGCAGATAGGGTGAACTGCAGATAGAGACTCTGAATTTTGCCAATTAATTTAAACAAAGCACCTAGATACAGAAAGCCAATTGAATTTAAATCTGATGGTTTCAGGTTGTCAACACCAATCATAAGAATTTGATTATGTCATTGCGGGTATATAAGACAAAGGCATTTGGCAAGTTGGGAAGAGCCAACTGTCATCTGAAAGAGAGAGTCATCTGCTACCTGCCAGAGTTAGCACCATTCAGCTCTCAGAGAAAGCCCATCTAATTAATCACTGGCACGATGGTATTTTAGCTCAAAGTCTTCACAGAAAAAATTACAGAGAGAATTAATGGAAGGAGGATATTTCTGAAGAGACTGCAGACAACGGAATCTTCTAGAAGACAGCCTATGTGAATTTAGAGAGATTAAGTTACGCTTTATTGCTTCTTATTAATTGGGTTTATATTAGTGGGACTTGTCTTTATTTAAACAGCATTCCAGTAAAATTTAGACGTTAGGAAGTATTTAATCTAAGGGAGAATTGTTGGTTTGTTAGTAATTTTATTAATTTGTTCATTGTTGGGTTAAATAAATAAATTGTTTCTTGTTACTTTTAAAGTGGAGATCAGGGATTTTCTTTCTTTTAACCACTCTTTTAATAGATTGCGAGTGGAAAGACGAGCTTCTCTGGGTGTTTCGGGGGTAATTATTAGAGGGGATCCCCTACTTCTGTCATAACAGATTGGGGCTTAACTTTTAATTTAATTATCAGAAGGGTTCAGCCATTTCCTGTCATCACGCTTACTACTTCTCAGCCAAGCTTGTATATTATGCAGGTTTTGCTGCATTATAGACTTGGATATCTTCAGTACCTGAGAAGATGTGAATTGTTAAAATTTTTGAGATTTGTAGTTCGGATTTTGGATGAGGTTGTAGATTTGCTCGCCGAGCCAGTGTGTTTGTTGCAGACGTTTCATCACCCTGCTGGGTAACATCATCAATGCATCTCCGATGAAGTGTTGGTGTTCTGTCCCACTTGTTATTTATATGCCTCTGTTTGCTGGGGTGGTTGGCGTTACTTCCACTGAAAAACAAAACCAAAGTGATATTACCTAGCATCGTGATGAAACATCTGCAACCAAACACACCGGCTTGGCGAGCAAATCTACAACCTCGGGTGTGAATGGTGTTGAACATTGTTCAATCATCAACGAACATCCTGACTTCTGACCTTCAGAACCAAGGAGGTGTGGTTGATGAAGCAGCTGAATATAGCGGGTCCAAGACACTTTTTTGAGGAACTCCTACAGTGATGTCCTAGGGCTGCAATGATTGACCTGCCACCACAACAACAACCATTTTCCTTTTATCTTAGGTATTAGACCCAATTAGTTGAGATTTGACTCCTGATCACGTTGGCTCCAGTTTTGCTAGCGCTCCTTCATGCCATACCCATTGAACAATGCTGTAGGTGCTAGAGCATTTTCCTATAGATGCGCCCATATCTGTGTGCTTCTGGTCCCACTGTTGTTGGAAACATGGAGCAATCCAGGTGGGCAAAAATAGTGATCAGAAGTTTAAACTTGTTAAACATTTCAGTATAGATGTTGTCTATATGGACTTCAGCAAAGCATTTGACAAGGTTGCACAGGTAGGCTGGTTAGTAAGTTTAGATCACATGGAATCCAGGCGGAGCTAGCCAACTGGATACAAAATTGGCTGAAGGTAGGAGACAGAGGGTAGTGGTGGAGAGTTGCTTTTTGGACTGGAGGCCTGTGACCAGCGGTGTGCCACAAGGATAGGTGCTGGGTCCACTGATTTTTGTTGTTTATATAAATTATTTTGATACGAGCATAGGAGGCATGGTTAGTAAGTCTGCAGATGACACTAAAATAGGCGGTACTGTGGACTGTAAAGAAGATTATCTCAGAGTACAACAGGACCTTGATCAGATGAGCCAATGGGCCAAGGAGTGACACATGGAGTTTAATTTAGATAAATGTGAGGTGTTGCATTTTGGTAAGGCAAACCAGGGCAGGACTTACACAGTTAATGGTAGGGCCCTGGGGAGTGTCGCCGAACAAAGAAACTGAGGGGTGCAGGTGCATAGTTCCTTGGAAGTGGAATCGCAGATAGACATGGTAGTGGAGGAGGTGTTTGGCATGCTTGCCTTCATTGGTTAGAACATTGATATGAAAGTTGGGACAGCATGTTGTGGCTGTACAGGACATTGGTGAGGCCACTTTTACAGTACTGTGTACAACTCTGTTCATCCTTCCATAGGAAGGATGTTGTTAAACCTGAGAGGGTGTAGAATAGATTTACAAGGATTGTAAATAGATTGCCAGGATTGGAGGGTGTGAGCTATAGGGAGAGGCTGAAAAGACTGGGGCAACTTTGTCTGGAGCGTTGGAGTCTGAGGGGTGACCTTATAGAGGTTATGAAATCATGAGGGGCCCAAATAGTGTGAATAGCCAAGGGCTTTTTCCTAGGGTGGGGAGTCAAAAACTAGAAGGCAGAGTTTTAAGGTGAGAGTGGAAAGATTAAAAAAGGACCTGAGGGGTAACTTTTTCATGCAGACTGTAGTGCATGTATAGAATGTGCAGCCAGAGGAAGTGGTGGACATGAGTATAACGTTTTAAAAAACATCTGGATGGGTATATGAGTAGGAAGGATTTAGAGGAATATGGGACAAATGCTGGCAAATGAGACTTAATCATATTGATCGGCACTGACGAGTTAGACCAAAGGGTCTGTTCCTGTGCTGTATGACTCTATATACCTAAAAGTTGTTTTCCTCAGAGATAGCATATCAGGAGTATAAGTTGATTCTGTGACCTCTCCCCCTTTTAGAATTTTTGAGCCTCTATTCCTGGTACTTGATTAGACAAAGAAAAATAAGGAATAATAATGAAGAAATGAGGGAAGTGGCTGAAGCACTGTGAAGGATGAAAGTTTTGTTGGAACTTGAAATAAAATTTATATTTATGTAATAACTTTCATTTCTATTATTGTTTTCGAGACACAAAAGCACTTCACAGATGTAGAGCAAAATTTGATGTGAAAGCACTTTGTGTGATACTCGAGGTGATGGCTAAAAGCTTTCAGCCAAAGACCTAGAATTAGAGAATGGTTGCAAATCATTCTACATCTGTCATTTCTGCAAGGAGCAATTTATCTATTCTCACTCACCTGCCCTTGTGTAACCCTGTGTTTTTTTTCTCCCTTCAAATGCTTAACCAGTTTCTGTTCGAAAGCCATGATTGAATCTGCTTCCATTGCACTCCAAGGCAGCGCATTACACACCCTCATCACTCATGTAAAAATCTTTTCCCTCATTTCATCTTATAATTCTCTTGCCATTCACCTTAAATCTATGTCCTTTGGTTCTTAACCCTTCTGCTAATGGGAACAGTTTCTGCTTCAACGTTTTAGCTTTTGGTCCCTCAAAAAAACTTTTCGTATACACCTTGGAAGTGTAGTCACTAATTAGGCAAGGTAGCTGCAAGTTTACATAGCAAGCTGCCACAAAATCATGACATGAATCGTCTATTGAGGGGTGAAGAGTGGCTAGGTCAGCTGAAGAATGCGCTTCGTGGAAAAGATACAACAGGATCTTTTGGATCCACCTGAACATGTGAAGCAACTGTCAGTTTAGCAGTTCTTTCAAAAGGCAGAAATTGCAATGCAGCACTGCCTCAGAACTGCACTGGATTACCTATCAATTTTGTATCAAAGCAGAACTTGAACCTACAATTTTCTGACCTGTCACTAGGCAAAACGGAAGCTTTTTATAAAATCTTGTATCCAAGATGAGAAACTGCCATTACACCTTTATGTGCCTGCTCCATCCTTTCATAGAGTCATATAGTACAGAAACAGACCCTTCGGTCCAACCAGTCCAGGCCGAACATAATCCCAAACTAAACTAGTCCCACCTGCTTGCTCCTCGCCCATATCCCTCCAAACCTTTCCTGTTCATATATCCATCCAAATGTTTTTTAAACATTGTAATTGTACCCACATCCGCCACTTCATTAGGAAGTTCATTCTATACGTGAACCACCCTCTGTGTTTGAAAAAAATTGCATCTGATGTCTTTTTTAAATCTCTCTCCTCTCGCCATAAAAATGTGCCCCCTAGTCTTGAAATTTCCCATCTTAGGGAAAGGACAAGTACCGTTAATTCTATCTATACCTCATTATTTTATAAACTTCTATCAGGTCACCTCTCAACCTCCTATGCTGCAGCGAAAAAGTCCCAGCATATCCTTTTAACTCAGTCCTTCCATACCTGGCACCGTACTGCTAAATCTCTTCTGAACCCTGTCCAGCTTGATAATATCCTTCCTATAACTGGGTGACCAGAACTGGACACAGTATTCCAGAAGAGGCCTCACCAATGTCCTGTACAACCTCGACATAACGTCCCGACTCCTATACTCAAAAGACTGAGCAATGAAGGCAAGCATGCCAAACACCTTTTTAACCATCCTGTCTATATGTGACATAAACTTCAAAGAATTATGTACCTGTATCCCTAGGTCCCTCTGTTCTACAACACTACCCAAGGCCCTACCATTAATTGCATAAGCCCTACCTTTGTTTGTTGAACCAAAATGCAATACCTTGCATTTATCCAGATTGAACACCATCTGCCATTTTACAGCCCATTGACCTATTTGATCAAGATCCCTTTGTAATCTTAGAAAACCTTCTTTACTGTCTACAATGCCACCAATTTTAATGTCATCTGCAAACTTACTAACCATGCCTTCTATATTCTCATGATTCATTTTGTTGCATCAATTCTTTTTTCCTCCATCTGCCCCTGCTATCTGCAAAAATAGAGGCCTGTACTTGGTCAAAAAGTTCTTTCTGTCCCGTCATATGTGAACAGGCAAAAACACCTTATGTTCTTTTGAAAAAGCATCTAAATTTATTAAATTAATAGCAATGTAATGGCTTTTGTTATGGGTATGATTACAATAATGTCACTCGTGTAAAATATCACATCCTCTAATGATCTGCTGGACTCAATATAAAGAAGATTAGGTTGGCTGTCAATAAAATGACACATTGACCCAAACAGTTTTCCAAATTTTTTTCCTATAAAAATCTACATACTAATTTTAAATATCATCTGGTATGAAAACCTGATTTTTGAAGAGGTTCTAAGAGGCACTATTTACTGTAATTTGCTCCTTAGCTTTTTTAGGAAATACAGCACATCAAAGACAACTGTGGAATCTGGTGAACTGAAGAAGTTTCAGGCTTTATCACAAAAATGGTGGGATAGAAATGGAGAATTTGCAGCTCTACATGCTTTGAATGACCTCCGTGTTCCTTTTATCCGGTATGGTAACATTTCAATTCACCATGTGGTGGTGGAAACATGTTATTTGATTTTAGAATTTGTCATATTCAGGATACTGGGAAAATTGTCTTTCTAATTCCTTGTTATTTGCTGTTGGAGATGAGGGGTAGGTTAATTTGTTGCTTGAGCACTTGTTACAGCAATGAGACAATACGATGTTGGCGTAGAAGTAGGCCATTCAGTCCATCAGTCAGCTCTGCCATTCATGATCTGATCATCTTCAAAGCCACTTTCCTGCCTTTTTCCCATAACCCATGATTCCCTTACTGATTAGAAACCATCTGTAACAGTCTTGAATATACTTAGTGACCCAGCCTCAACTGCCCTCTGTGGTAAAGAATTCCACAGATTCACTACCCTTTAACAGAAGAAATTCCTCCTTATCACTGTATTCATTTGCTTTATACATATCATCACATCTTGTGTTTTTAAAAATCTTTTGTCATTACAAATATACTTTTTGTCTTTTGTTTTTAATTAATAGAACCTCATGGTGGTGACTTCTTCTGTTTTGGATGAGACTTGTACCTTTGTCTCGGCCTGGGCAAGAAAATAAATGAAGAAAAGGAGGGAATTTAGTGAATGTGCAAATAGATTTGTAATGTCAATTTTTTTGTTTTGCACTGATTTCAGCTGCATTTTTCACAGAGTTGTAAAGCACAGAAACAGACCCTTTGGTCCAACTCGTCCACGCCAACCAGATATCCCAACCTGATCTCGTCCCATTTGCCTGTATTTTGCCCGTATCCCTCTAAACCCTTCCTATTCATGTACCCACCCAGATGCCTTTTAAATGTTGTAATCGTACCAGCCTCCTCCTCCACCTCTGGCACCTCGTTCCATACACGCACCACTTTCTGTGTGAAAAAGTTGCCCTCCGGTCTCTTTCGAATCTTTCTCTTCTCGCCTTAAACCTATACCCTCTAGTTTTGGATTCCTTACCCTGGGAAAAAGACTTTGGCTATTCGCCCTATCCATGCCCCTCATGATTTTATAAATCTCTATAAGGCCATCCCTCGGCCTTCAATGCTCCAGGGTTAAAAAGCCTCAGTCCATTCAGCCTGTCCCTATAGTTCAAACTCTCCAACCCTGGAAAATCCTTGTAAATTTTTTCTGAACCTTTTCAAGTTTAACAACGTCTTTCCTATGGCAGGGAGACCTAAACTGAATACAGTATTCTAAAAGTAGCCTCACCAATGTCCCATACAGCTGCAACACACATGATCTGATGAATTTTGCAAGCAGTATTTTTCTACATCTTATCAACTAATCACAGAATGACAACTGAAGAAAGTGCCAAAAAGGGTGAATGAGACTGGGACACTGAAGTCATATAAGGAACAGGACCGGTGCAAGTGTATTAGGCACCCTATGTGAATTTTCAGCCTTGTGCACTTGTGCCCAAGCCTGACACATGGTCTAATTTTTGCTAATCGGGGATCTTGCATTAACAACCAACCAACATGCCCACAGCAACAACTACAGATAAATAGGCAGTTCCTTTAGAAACAAAGAGGAAGTGAACACTGCAATGAATTATAGAATCATGGAGTTGTTGCTCTTGACCAATTCTGTCAGCACTGGTTCCCCAAACAAAAAATTCACTAGGTTTCATTCTCTTCACTTCCCCCTGCATATGCTTCCTTTTCAGATAACAATCTAATTTCCTTTGCTTCAATTGGACCCACCTCCTCCACGTTCTCAGACAGTGCATTCTGTACGCTGCATGTGGGGAAGTGGGGGAAAAAATTAAAGTTTTATTTTCAGAAAGTTCTATTAAGCAATCCACACTGAGGAGGATATTGCTGACCAGCATGCAATGGAGATTGCATAGGGAATAATGACAAAAGAAGGTATTAAACTTAATTGAAGCTAAGTGTAAGATGTTCATAGATTCACGTTTTGAAGCCATTCTATGTAGCTTTACTGCTGACCATTCCAAGCAATGCAGATTCCCTAGGCCGATAGTATTTTCAGACTGTGAAAGAAAATGTGAATAATGCCTTTGGTTTCCCTCAGCTTCACTCATAATTTATGTTTCCTAACAATATTAACATAAGAGAGGAAGCTTAAATCCAACTATTAATTTTAAAAATGACCGAAGTCACTAATTGGAATTTCAAAATGCTTGTTCAAATGGAGGCATTGTGTGGGGGCTTCAAATCCTTCCATCCATCTGGACAGTTGCTTTAGCATTAACAAGAGGGTCCACCCCAGAAAGCAAGTACCTGTCAGCACTATGCACCAGAATGAGTACATTGCCATGGTTGCTGCCTCTAAGAATGCTGCACTACAGGGATAAGAGTTCGAGGAGTAGGGTAGACCGACAGTGATACAACAAAGTCCTCACTTCAACCATCAGCATTTAGTGGCGTGGCAGCAGTAGGGGGCAGGCTGAAAGTTGACTGGGATGAGCTAAATTTGCAGTTGGCGGAACAGCAAGTGAGAAAGAGACAGCTGCTCTGCCAATCACAGATCAAGGTTGCTGTTATAGGTCCTCCAATCAAAGATTTCCTATCTCTTGCTTTTCCCGCTCCTCCACGGACAGAGTCTGTGATTCCTAAGGTAGCTCCATCTCTCCTGCTCTCACCGTTTCCCTGAATTTTTTTAAAATTTATATGGAGCTGAATTGCTTTCAATACACTGCGTTTTTTAAAGCAGGCACTGTGTGCTTCTGAGCACTTGCGTCTTTATTGCTTCAATGCACAACTACAAGCTCATCTTTGTTTTCTTACCTTCAGATGAAATTGCTTCCAGTGTGTTATTTTTATTCAGGTCTGTAATAAGCTATGAAGTTTTAAGTCAAATGATTTACATAATCATCATTTTACCAGAATTGCCCCAGCTTTATTATCCAGTTGTGCTCCAAAACCATTCACTGGGACAACTCCATGTTTTAGTTAAATTTTGGAAAACAGTTTTAAAAATCTGAATGGTAATTTTCACTTAAAAGTGACAGCTGTTGCATGTCAAGTTTTGATTTATTTATGCCTAAAACTAGTCAGTTATTAGCTATATAATTGGTATGTCCTGATTTTATAATCTGTAAATCAGGACATGTTTTCCTAAGGGATGAACATAGTAAACATAAGACTTTGCTTTTTTTTTTGTCTTCTGTTTCACTTTATTGGCAACCTCTGGGGAAATGCTTTATATAGATAATCATTCTTTTTCTTTCCCTAACCTTTGCTAGAGATACGTTGTTGATGCATAGTGAAAAACAGCAATCAGGACGTCCCCTTCATGGCTTGCGAATTTTAGATGTTGGTTGTGGAGGAGGACTGCTGAGTGAGGTATGATAAAGATTTGTGATTAATGACAGGCCAATTCGCAGTTTATGTACAAATAGAGAACATTTTACTGACAATCTGCATCATTCTAGCTCCTTACATCAGCAAAATGTTGAAGGTCAGGGACCTGGGAAAGTGGATGAAAGGAACTATGGCCTATTGTGTTAGATCAAGACTGTCCACTTACAACCAAGAGGGATGATATTTTGCCTTGGGTATGCCCCCATACGTCAAATTACAAAACTGAAACATTTTTACACCCAAATGGAACCCAATGCCTTGTACATAGCACAATATATGAAGAACAAGCTTATAAATAATAATTTCTAGAATAATGATAATTCCTGAAAAAAAAAATTCTGGAAATCTCTCCCCAATGGCATCATAGGTCTAACCACACTAAATGGACTGCAGCAGTTCAAGAAGGCAGCTTGCCACCACCTTCTCAAGGGCAACTGGGGACAGGCAAGAAATGTTGGCTCAGCCAGTGATGCCCACGTCCCATGAGTGAATTTTTAAAAATAATTGAAGTATTAGTTTCCAAAAACGTTTAGAAAAATGAAGAAACAAAATTTCTGATTAGGTGGCAAGTGAACTCCGATTAATCAAGGTGTTGCTTTGGAGAATGCATTAGGGAATGATTATCCCTAAAGCATTTACATTCAAAAAAGGCAGGTTTCCAGGACAGTCCATTAACTGGGATCAAATAGCACATCCCTTCAGCTGTTCGCAACGAAGTACTGACCAGACACAAACAGCTGGTGCTTGCAAAACCCACAACATTGTGGCAACATTCCAAAATTGGACAACACTTATTGAACAATCCTGAATGTGTAATTACACTAACAAACCAATTTAAGATCATCAGTCAGACTCACATTGCAACCCTCTTGCTGAAAACTGCATACAGTCATATGCATAGACCTGTTCTCTTCTAACGGAGAGAACATATCCACGCATTGCATCTTTTTCAAATAAACAAAAGCTGTAGGACAACCATTTTCTAGTGCATCAGTCGACACTTTGTCATAGGTGATCAGAGTGCACTTGCTAAGCGCACTTTCCTCAAGCAGTATGATTGATCTAACATTTGAAATTTGACCTTTGTGTGTTTGTCTTGATAAGTGCATGATGTGAAACTTCAGCAGTGCGTCTCAAATAAGGTAGTGGCAAGTCGAAGCAAATTAGAAATAGAATCAACATCCAATGAAGCAAAAACTCTTAATACCTTAGAATTTTTAATTTAAGAACTTGTTAATTCCATCACATTTGCTGCTTCCTGCTCATCGAAACTCCCACATGCTGCCTCTCTTCTGACCCTCTTGTTTCCCCTTCTCCTCACCAGTCTCCTCACCAGTACCTTTGCTGCAAAGACCCTTGTGGGCCACATTAGCCCTTCAGCAGGGTCATCAATTAGACAGCCCTGGCAAAATTTAAAAGAAACAGAATTCCTCACTGCCTCAAATATCTGTCTAGTTCTCCTGTACGAATGACGTGCTTCCTTAAACCAATCTGTTACCATATATTCACTACCGTATGACTAAACTGCTTGTGACCCTTTCCTGGCACAATTTTGGGTGTATTCATTGGGTTCTGTCCACTTTTTTTAAAGAAAAAGCACTTGAGTAATGATATTTCAGTGGGATTTTGTTTTGGCTCTTTTCACATTGATTATAAAGTAGTGATTGTATTTTCTCAAGATAAACTTTGGTAATTTTACTTTTGCCTTCTTTAGCCTCTTGGTAGGCTTGGAGCGATGGTTACAGGAATTGACCCTTTGGAAGATAACATCAGAATAGCAGACGTACATAAATCGTTTGATCCAGTCCTGAAAGAACAGGTTCAGTATTCTGCCTGCCCTCTGGAGCAAATGGCAATGGAAGCGCCTGGAATGTTTGATGCCGTTATAGCCTCTGAAGTTGTGGAACATGTCAGTGATGTGGAAACTTTTATCAGATGTGCTGCACAAGTTTTAAAGGTACGGTTTAAAAAAAATCCAACTTTACTTGCAGAATGTGAGCTTCACTGAAGGATAGCATTTATTGCCTGTCCCAAATGGCTGTCAAGATAATGGTGATGAACTGCCATCTTAAATGCTGTCATCTGGTAGTAGAATACACATAAAAATAGAGTCAGGATTTGGATTAGTCGTGTATGATTTGAGAATTTTACTTATAAATGTCTTCAAGATGCTGTAGCCAGAAATAATTAAATGGTGAGAATTGTTCATTCGGATTTAAAGTGCAAATTTAGCTCACTGCTGTTTAGTTTGTGTTGGAAGCGCAGGATTGTAATTCATGCTTGTTTATTTCTTTTTGATGCCACATTGTCTTATCCGAAGACAATCAATTCTGATAGGTTGCTGCAGCAGTTTGATCGCGCTGTGACACAGAATTGGCGATATATTTGCAAGTCAGAATAGTGTGTGACTTGGATAAGAACTTGGAAGCAGTGGTAGCCCCATCCACCTCTTCAAAGTGGGAGAGGTTTGAGAGGTGCAGTTAACAGAACCTTGGCGATGTTCTGCAGTGCATTCGATTGCCAGTACGTAGTGCAACCATGTAGTTCTGTTGCTGGAGGTTGTGATTATTTTAAGGTGGTTGATGGATGGCTGATCAAGCAAACTGTTTGCCCTGGATGGAGTTGCACTTCTTGAGCATTACTTAAACTACGTTTATGTGGAGAAGTGGCAGGTCATCACATTTCTGAATTGTGCCTGATAAATGTTAGAAGGACTTCTGGGAGCCCCCCCGAACCCACAAAGACTCTTCGCAATCAGCAAAGTGCAAGTTAGGATTATGACGGGTGCATTGCAATACTGTTAGCAGTTCAGTACAGTTAAGGTCTGTGCAGATTATCACTGTACTAAGCATCCACTATACCACCAGTGCACTTTGGCTGCAATATGTACATCTTCAGGCTTGATTAGAGAAACTTGCCAAATTTACTTACCATCCCCCAGTTCTGTGACATCTAGCAACAGGAAGAAAACAAAATCTTGCATTATAACAGTGTCATTTCAGGATTATTAGACATTTCAGTACTTCATGGCCAGTGGAACTCTTTTGAAGTTTAGTCATTGTTATAAAGTAGAAAATATACAACCTGTGCGCAGAAATGCTATAATGCACATAATCTGTTTGTGATTTTGATTGGGAAATAATTATTGCCCAGCACACTGGGCAAAGCTTTCTGCTGTGCTTTGAAGTAGTGCTGTGGGATCTTCAGTATCCACCTGGGAGGGCAGATGGGCAAGAGGAGCAAGATCTTGTTTCCCTTTCTCGATGAGTCTAGAATTAGGGGTCGGTGCTTAAGATTTCTCCTCATCTCCATCTTTTCTCTGAAGCTCATGAGTCTTTGGAACTTGTTCTCCAGACAGTGGCGGAGCCAGGGTCAATTAATATTTTTAAAGCAGATGTTGACATCTTTATAATCTTTGACTAATAAGAGAGTCAGCTGTGGTTAGGTGGGACTTTAGACTTGAGGCCGGAATCAGATCAGCCATGATCTTACTGAATGGTGGAACAGTGCTTTTAATTCACATACTTGTATAATGCAGTTCCTTCATCATTAGGACACTATTCTGAAATTAAATAAATAATGTCACTGTAAGTGCATTGTTAAAACCAGTATTTTAGAGTTTAAGGTGAAAGACCATGAACTTCATATCAAGTGAATTAAGGATGGGCAACATTGCCATCAGCCAAATCCAGAAAAAAATATTCTTTAAATGTCAGAAATTACCTGATTGACCCTGTATGCCACTGTGAGTACTGAGAGTCCTTGTTAGTAAAGATTTGTTATGATTTTGGTGTAAAAACACACAGACTGTTCTATTTGAAAACATTTTGAATTACATTTAAATTTCACTGTCATGATAAATAATATTTAAAGAAGCGACACATTTAAGAAATTGAAACAATAATACACATCCCTTTCTGGGAGTTTATGAACAGTGTTAATCTCTGCCTTTACAATGAAACCCTTGGAGTTAAGAGGCTACAGCGCAGAGAAAGGTCATTGAGTCTGTACTGGTCAAAAACAACCTACTAACTATCCTAATCACATTTTCCAACACTTGGCCATAGCCTTGTATCCCTTGGCATTGCAAATACTAAAATGTTATGAGGGTTCCTACATCTATGACCATTACAAGCAGTGAGTTCCAGATTCCCACCACCCTTTAAATCTCCTGCTCCTTACCTTAAATTCATGTTCCCTGGTGATGCTTCCACCAAGGAGAAACATTTTTCCTGCCTATCATATTTATGCCTCTCAGAATTTTATACATATCAATCATGTGCCCTCTCAGTCCCCTCTGTTCCAAGGAAAGTAACCCTAGTCTGTCCAATCGCTCTTCATACTAAAACACTCCAACCCAGGTAACATCCTGATAAATCTCCTCTGCAACCTCTCCATGGCAATCACCTCCCTCCTATAATATGGACTTCAGAACTGCACACAGTACTGCAGCTGTGACACAACCAACATTTTAGACAGTTCCAGCATAACCTCCCTGTTCTTCAGAATTAGATTAGATTTTATTGTCACATGTACTCCAGTACAGGAATAGAATGGAAAGTGCAAAGAGTCACCATTGTCCGGCACCATCTAAAAATTCTAAATAAAAAGCAGAAAACAAAGAAACAAAAGCAAAAGAAGTATCCCATTCTATACAGCCACTTGCTTACTCGGCCAAGACGCAGAAAGCAGCCAGGCTCTGGAACTCCCACCACCTCCCAGGGACCCTGCGGGGTCACAGTTCAGAGCTTCACCCATTACCACCACCATGAGTCCTGAGCCAGGCCCACCCATGCCACCTCCACTGCAGTCTCACCGCCATCTTTCTCCGCCATCACTGCCGAAAGATTAGAAAAGATGTGGCTGACTTGAGGAGCAGACAAGCCCAAGCTCAGGAACCCAAATGCTGCCTACCCTGCCACCACCATCATGGAATGGTAAACGCACTTTTATGAATTCCAGTGGAAAGTGTGTTTCTGACCATCTGACGCTCTGAGTAGTGAACTGTTCCCGTTACTGGGTTGTGTTCACTTCTGTGGTATCCCCTTACTTACATTGCCAAGACATGGCTCACCCTCAGAACAGCTTCCTGGGTCTGGATGGTCATTTTCTAGCCAGGCTTCCCATGGTGTGTGACCGACAGTCCGAGGCCCGTCGCTCCACTCGTCGACTATTCCTGAACATTCTGCCTCGTCAACTTGCGTGACTTTTCCCCGGGACCAACCAGTTAGTTCTCAGGGAAGCAGATAATTTCTGCACATAACATATGATCGCCTGGAAAAGTCAGTATAAACCAATCCCTTTATGAATGTCACAGTTTTATTTAAAAAGAAATGCATTATCAATGTAGTATCATAAAGTTGAATAAAAGTTGTAGTAATAGATTTTCACTTTTTACAGTTTGCTATGCTGTTTGCAAATTCCGGGTAACCAGTCATGGCTCATATCTGTAAACACTGGTTGTTTGGTAGGGTGAGGATGATGAAGGCTATGTTGACCCTACATGACAGGCTTTGTATTCTTGAAAATTTACATGTGAATGTTTGAGAGTGAGACAGATGCACCTAGGGGATAATGTTTTTGATCACTCCAACCTCTGATGGAGCTTATCTGTTAGTAAGAACTGTGATTTTTCCCACTTGGTGCTTGGTTATCCTGCAGATTAAAGTTGTATCAGGTCGGTTTTTGCCTCAATGTACATGGTTTGAACGAGTGGGATGTGTGCCAAAACTTGGGAGGAGCATATTGCCAAGGTGAGGCAGAAGCTGGACAAATGGGAGCACCATTCCCTCTACATTGTGGTTAAAAACTGGTCATCGGTGTTGTATATGGCACAGGTCTGGCCCATTCCCCAAGGCCACCCCACTGCAGTCACCCAAGTCATCTTCCACTTCATCTGGGATACCTTGTACAAGCTCTGGATAAGTGGGGAAGAAAGTACCTAATGCCGCCCCCATCCTGATGGTCACCTTTATGTGCGGCTGCATCAATCTATGTGTAGAGTCTCGGTGTGCAAACACTAAGTATCACTATGTACTGAGGCTCTACCTGTCCCTTGTGTTAGGAGGATGGGCCTGGCCTTGTTGCCATGGAACAGTCCTACTAGTTAGACAGTTCCATATCACCTGTCTGTCTTGGAAAAATTTGTAAAGGAAAACACCTTTGATTACAAGTCCATCAAGTAGTTGTCAGCATGTAACATCCTCGACAGCCTGCTGGAAAAGGAGAGAGTTGATCGTGTCAGGTTGTTCCCTGACCAGACTATCAAAGTCATTTGGCAGAATGCCTCATTGCCAGAACTTTTCAACAAGTGTCAAGATGCCGCTTGGCTGATGGTGAGAAGCACACTGCCTGTGAGATCCTTCGTGCATGTCGAAACTGCCTACACCACCGCAGACTGTCCTCTAAGGGGGTGTAGAGATTGTCACACATCTCCTTCTGGGAGATGCTGTGGTTTTTGTCATGGTTTTCTGGAGCAACTTCTTGACACAGGATTCTGTGCTGTACGGGCTGTTCCCTGGGAGACACACCGAGACGAGCATCGACTACGCCTAGAGCACCATCAACTCAGTGAAAGATGCTCTTTGGTCTGCCCGAAACGTGTTGGCCTTCCAAAGCAAGGAGTTGATGTCGACCAAGTGTTGCAGACTGACACATTGCAAGCTCCAGGACTACATACTGAGGGATGCACTAAAGCTTGGGGCAGCTGCCACCAAAGGACAGTGGAGAAAAACCACTGTCTCAGGTCTTCCTGCCAAACTACAATGAGGGTCTGTTCAGTCATCAGACACTCTCCTTGTCTCAATGTTTGTAAATAGTTTCCTACATGAGTAAGAAATGCCTTTAGTTTGCAAATTGGCAGGGAATGTCAAATTCCAAAGTTAGTATATTTTTTTTAATGAATAAAGTATATTTTTACAATTTAAATAAGAAGTTTTCCTCCATCTAATTTGGGGGATATTTTCTTAAGAACCAGTTTGGGAATGTCTTTATACACCTCTGGAACAGGTGGGACTTGAATCTGGGCCTGCTGGCTCAGAGGTAGGGATGATCCACTTTGGTAGATTACGTGGCTCTTGGTGATTCACTTGGCATCTTTAAGCTTTGGTTGTGCCTTAATTTGGCAGATTGGGAAGTAATATGTGTTCCCACACAACAAGTATGCATTCAATATCGGGAAACAAAAAGGTGAATGTGGATTTCTTGGAGGAGATATGAACTGGAAGACAATGAGTTTCTATATGTCAGACATCCAGCTGACCAGAAGACCTTAATAATAATTTAGTTGAAATAATGTAGTCTGTTGTTCACAGCCTCAAATAACTGAAATCTCTTATTCCCTGTTAATCAGCCAGGAGGATCGCTTTTTATAACAACAATTAACAAAACATTCCTGTCCTATGCATTGGCAATTGTAGCAGCTGAGAAGATATTAAGAATTGTACCAAATGGGACACATGAATGGGGCAAGTTTATTAGTCCTAATAAATTGGAGGCTCATCTAATGTCCAGTGAGTAATGTTAATATTTACCTTTTTGTACTTTCAAGGATATGTTTCTTACATTAGCAAACAGGACAATCAGTATTTTACACTTGAATTGATTTAGAGCTAAATGGATTTTATTTTGGGAATGTATTTTTCTAAGTAAGTCAAATGCTCATTTATTATCATTCAGCTTGTTACACAGGAGAGTACAAATGGTTAGCTGAAATATGTTTGGAAATGGGAATCTTTCTTTTGAATAAAGGTTAAAGGTTGTAAACATTGCAGGTGATCTGTATGAATGGTCCCAAGAAACTGTTGTGCAGAGCACAGATGGCAGGGACTATGCTGTGGTAAATCACCTCATTGCAGCAGAAAAGCAAGAAAACCTCATTGCTATGTGCTGCAAATGTAAAAATATCAATAACAAAATATAATTCTCTTTAATTTCCACTTTGAGAGATCAGCTTGATTTTGTGGCAGTGATATTTTTAAGACAACCATTAAGCAAAGAGTAATACACCTAATCTGATTATTTCCTTCCTCTGTCTCAATCTTTTACCTTTTCCCCCTTCCGTCCTCCCACCTTGCTTAGTTAGATCATAGCCACAGTTGCAACAGTTAATTACAAACAGCAGAAAGCGCAAATGTTGTGTGCTTAAGTGCATCTTTGATGAACAAACAAGAACCTTGTGTCCATTCACTTCACGCTGTTTATCTGAATTCTTGGAATTATGGAAGGAGTTTAATTTTGCTGAATTGGACAAATAATTGGCACTTGTGGCAAGCAAACTGAGAAATAACTGAAAAATAGTATAATCTTATATCCAAAGCAACAATATCAAACAATTATTTTGCAACTGAGATGATTTTTAAAAACTGCTTTTCATTAATTCTGCTCCTGTGCAAAACATTGAAACCTGGCTCTGCTGTGCTTTATTTGTTATTCGGTAAATCATGTAAGAAGGCCTCCCGCAATTGTTCGACAACATAAACAATACATTGGTATTTAATTGAAAGTATCACTTACATCTGATATTCGTTCTTGATCCATAGTTTTTCTTTAAATGCATTCTTATTTTTCTGTTTATGATTTTCAGGTGGATTCACAGTAGAGACTATCAATGGAATGCTGTATAATCCCCTGTTTGGTTCCTGGCGTTGGATTATTAATGCTAGTGTCAATTATGCATTACACGCGGTAAAAAACAAAATTGAAGAGAAATCGGATTTCATGTCAGAAAGAAGTGACGGGAAAGACAATGGCTCCTATCAATCAAAATCCAATGCTGGTTCTACAGTACAGTCATAGGAAAATTAGCTTTTTTTAGTCCAGAGCTGCTATGAAAAGCTGTTTTACTGATTAAACTGGCTGATTACATTGATTATGCTTAATGGAACATTTTCTACGTCAAGAGTGAACAACATTTTGCATCTCGCCAACAAAATTGTAACCGATGAAGCATCATTTTTAAATACAGTGTGTTGGTGTGCTGACTGTTAACTTCATTGTAATTAAAATAAACTTAATTTCAAAAATTGTTTGCAGTGTTACTTTTAGCATACATTGTTTCAAACTAATTACTTAAAATCTCATATCTGTTCGCTCTTACTCCTTTTCGCTGTGGTCTTTTTTTCCAATCTCTTCCTATTTACAATGATTATTATAATTTCTTTTTTTGATTTTAAGAAGTTTTATATGTATTTTTGCACACCGTGTTTGAAGCTGCCAATGTCAACATCATAGCTTGTTGATCCAACAGGGATTTTTTTTGTATAAGTTTAACAGCCAATCATGATTTTGGTATAGTTGACTATTGATGTGTAATAAAATTAATTATATTGTGGGTCTTTTGGGGTTTGTTGAGTTATCAACATTAAATTTGTTCATTTTTAATATTGCCGTTTACTAGAGCTTGTGATCTTGTACATTGTACATTCTCCTGCAAATTACCATGTTTACGCTTTATAAAAGGTATGTTAATCCTTGTTGGTTTTAATGCCTGCAGTTTTGCACACAATCCTGAAGGCACTGAAGTACCAGTCTGTGAGACCAAAAAGGTTGCTTCAGAGCAGCATTCTGTGTATGGTGAGGATTGAGGATTACAGCAGACTGAGGGAGAGAGCAAGGTGGAACAGGTGGTGATCTCCATAATAAAACCTTACCTGATGGTTATGATTTTTTTTCTGCAGAGGACCATTCACCCTTTTGCTGACAAATATCAGGATGATGTGTATTTTTATTCTGCTTTCTCAATTTGCCTTGAATCGTTACAAGGGTCATGTTTTTACCAATCTCCGTTCAAAGCAATAATAATATAAGCATTTTGTGGCACATTCGTCTCTGGTTTATTTGTGAACAAGGAAAGAATTTTCATTTAGATAGCATCTTTCAAAGTGTACTAAAGTCTTTCACACCCAGTTCATTCATTGTTGCAAACTTGTTTGAGCCCTCCGAATAGTAACTTAAAATTGGACTTAATCTCCATCTCCACAACTCTATAGTTGTTGTTTCTTATTGTCTTAAGCTGCATATTCATTTCCAGGCCCAGGAATTCTCTGGCAACTAGAATTAATTTTGGGCACTCCAAACAGAATCTGAAGCTCTGCGTACTTCTAGCTCAAATATTAAAAGCGTTACCATGCTCTCAGTGTAGAATTGCTCAATGACTACGAGAATAGAATTGTACATGTGGCTGTGTTTTCCCACGGCACACCCACTATTTGTTCATGCTGTGGCAATTCATTTCATTAACCTTACGTGGAAGGCTGTATTATCTGTAAGGTGGCTTTTGGGAGACCATAGGAGCATACAGTTGCAGTGGGCCTTCCCCTGTTCAACTGAGATTGATCAATTTTTTTTTCAGCTTAGGATGTCGAGGAATAAGGTACAAAGAAGTGAGTGTCAAGCACAATCTAATTTAGTGTAAAAGTAAACTCAAAGGGTTGGAAGGACTACTTGTTCCAATGCAAGCAAATTTGTCAGACATCTGTGCGCAAAATAAAATTGAATACTGCAGGTTTGGACATCTGAAGTAAAAAATAAACAGTAAATACTGGAAACAGTTGTGAAGAAAGAAACAAAATCAGCATCTCAAGTCAATGACTTTCTATTGGAACTGGAAGTGATGAGTTTTGCTAGAGTTTCCCAGTCAACAGCCACTTCATGTGGGACGATGTAAACTGTAAAAGATTGTACTGGCATATGTTTATAGTTTATTTACATATAAGCAATATTGTTACTTTAGTATGCCAAAATGGTTTAGAAATAAATGAGAACATCTGTGTATTTACAAAACTCACCGCTTAGATGTTTCCTTATGAAGTATGTGCTGAATTTACAGTAAGAACAAAAAGTGATAGTTGGCAAAAGGGCAAATTAGGCTCAAACAAACATGCTTTTATAGTTTTGAGAAAAATAATTCACAGGAGAACAGAGACAAGTATTGTGCACAATTAGAAGCAACAAAAGCTGTTGCCAGAGTAACTGAAAGGTCATTGGAGAAGATCGTGGACAGCTGTAAGACACAATGGTAAAAGCTTTTTTGGCTATGTCAGGAGTCAGATTGCCATGAAAGATGCATAGGGCTACTGAAGGATTCATAGGACTGATTTAAATGGACTCTTGGGGTGTAGTGAAGTCTGAAATTATTACCTTGCTGCAGATTTCACTTCTATAGACAAGTTCAATTTACTAACAATGAGCTACGTTGTCAATTTGGAAATTGTAAAACTTAACGTAGCTGAGGTAGAATGACCAGTTAGATGGAAATAGGAACCACCAAAGATCGGATTGCCAGTCTAGATGACATTAACATGTTTTTGCCCATATCATGAGTGTTTGAGCTTGTTACTTTAGAAACATACAGATCCAAGGATCAATAAGAACGTCAAGTCATCACTAGAGAACCATTAATTTAACTTCAGTAATTGGCAAGATGCTGAGAGGACTCCAAGAAATGGTATCTGGATAGAGAAGGAAACCTCAGAAATAATGAGCACTGCTTCTGCAAAGAATAGTTCTGTAAGAAGTCACTAGGTTATCAAATATGGTTCAGTGGAAATGATTCCTTTCAATTTTTAGACAGCTTTTGAGAAGGTGCTTCACAAAAGTTTACTTTTTGCATATTGTGGGATTGCTGGGAGGTTCCTGTAGTGGGTTGAGGATTAGTTGAATTTGCATAAGCAGTAACTGTTAATGGCTGTAGACTTGTTTAGAGACCATTTGCCACTAGTGTCCTGCAGGCTTGTGTTAGGTATCTAGATGTTTATTAACTTTACAAATGACCTGAATGCAACTAAAGGGAATGAGCTACAAATGTACATAGACAGTGAATCTTTGTATAATAAACTGAGTATAATGAACTACTTGTATATTCCAAGTGTCTGTTAAAGTCTTGAAGAACTGATCATGAAACTTTCCTGGATAACAAGGTGTAAAGTTGGATGAACACAGCAGGCCAAGCAGTATCAGAGGAGCAGGAAAGCTGACGTTCTGAAGAAGGGTCTAGGCCCAAAACATCAGCTTTCCTGCTCCTCTGCTGCTTGGCCTGCTGTGTTCATCCAGCTCTACACCTTGTTATCTCAGATTCTCCAGCATCTGCAGTTCCTGCTATCTATGGAACTTTCCTTGCAGTTTCTACATCACTAGCGGAAAGAAAATCAAACTGCAGAGTAGTATTGTGATGTGTAGCAAGATCTAAGACAACAGTAGGATGTTTTTAAACTCTGGCATCTAGCTTTGGCCCTGGTTGGCAAGTTGATTTATGGCATTTTGACTAGATCAGCTTGGTGCAGATCAGGCAGTGGTCTGTTTAGCATGGCATAGTTATCCTGACATCAGCCACCTCCTTCTGTCAAACAGGCACGTAGTCACACAGCACATGCTATGCTTGGCTTGTTTTTCTCCCTTCAACCATTTATTCATCATTTCAGGTTTCTATTTCATCACCAGCTCTTTCAATAACATGACATTGGATTTAAGTAGATGTGATTTCCCCACACTCAAGAGATCCAGGTACTAGGAGGAAGCCAGAGCAATGAGATTGATAAGCTTTGAAATGTAATCCCTGAATGTCAACAGAGAATCACTGAACCCTATCTAGCTAACATCCCTGGGCATTTTTGCAGCTAAGCATTGCAGGTTTTCTATTATTTGGGTGAAATTGTGTTTGGATAGTGACCATCTCTTTTTCCAAGCATAATTGCTGTCATTCAGATCTATCCCTTAACCTTTTCCAGAGTAAGTGCTAGTACTGGCATTAAGATTGTCGCTATTAATAAAAATGATTGTAAAACAATGGGAGATTGAGACCAATTCCATTGCTGCTTCAAAGAGCTAGCATAGGTAATATGGGCTGAATAGTCTTCAGTTCTGCTCTAAGATTCTGTGGATATGTGACTCGCAGCATATACCTTCATCCAGTTATTGGAAGTAGCCCTTAGTCCTTATTATCCTTCAAACATAATTAATAGTTGCACTATAAAAAGTGACGGACATGCAGATGGTGGGAAATGTCAGATACAGAAAAAAGATTTCACAAGGACCAGAGATAGCAAAGTATGGAGCTGGAGGAACACAGCAGGCCAGGCAGCATCAGAGGAACCCTTCTTCAATAAAATGATTTTTCTGAGGAAGGATCCTGACCCGAAACGTCAGCTTTCCTATTCCTCTGATGCTGCCTGGCCTGCTGTGTTCCTCCAGCTCCACACTTGGTTAACTCTGACTCCAGCATCTGCAGTTCTTGCTATCTCTTTCACAACGACCACTTGGTTTCTGATTCAATAGTGCCTTGGTCCAAACATGAGCCAAAGAGCTGAATTCCAGAGATGATGTGGAAGTGACTACCTAGGATATTAAGGCAGCACTTGGCCGACTATGGCATTAAGGAACCCCAGTGGAAGTGAAGAGAATGAAACAAGAGGATAATTTCTCCACTGGTTGGAGTCATACTTATTACACAGGAAAGTTTTGAAGTTGTTGAAAACTAAACATTTCATTCTTAGGACATCACTATTGCAGTTCTTCAGGAAGTGTCCTAGGATCAGTCATTTTCAAATGCTTCATCAATGTCTTTCCTGAATTATAAGATCAGAACTGGGGCTAGTTTTTGCAAAGTGCTTAGATAATGTAGCAAGCTGCCCATGTGCACAGCAAGACCTGGGCTGTAGGGAGGCTTGAGTGAATAGCAGCAGGTAACTTGTGCCACAGAAGTACTAGAGAGTGACCATCTCCAACAACTACAAGTATAAGTGCCTTTATTGACACTGGTGAGATGGTTGTATAGAGGTATTGTCAGTGAACTAGTAATCAAGACCCTAGGCAAATGTTCAATGGAAACAAAAAAAAAACACGAATGTTGGAAATCTGAAACAAAAACAGAAATTTCTGGGAAAACTCAGCAGATCTGGCAACATCTCTGGAGAGAAATCAGAGCCAATATTTCAAGTCCAGTGACTCATCTTCAGAACTGATTGAAGCTGGGAAAAGGTAGCAC